TCACCTACTGGTCGAAGCTTTATTCGCGTGCAGCGCGTTCACCTTCTACGACGGTCTCTCTCCGCGTGCAACGCATGCGCTGGCCGGCGACCAGCTGTGCTGCCCGACTTCGAAGGGCCCGACCTTGAAGCGCCCGAAACACCTCCTCAGACGAGAGAGCGACGTTTTCGGGGGAGCGTTTTGGAGGCGATTATCCAAGGCATTGCAGACTCTGAACAGAGCTCTCCATGCGAAGACCAAGGCGCATGGGGGCAGAGTGTTTCGAGTGGGTGACATGATTGACAATCGCCGACCTGCCGCTACTAAGGGTGACCATGGAGGCTTAAATTACCCCTTCAGCGCAAGTGAAGTCAACGAGGAACATGGGCAACTTGTGACCAACTAGGGATATACACGTATATACGTGTGTATATATATATATGTATATATGTATATGTATATGAGTATATATGTATATATATATATGATTCTGGAGAAAAAACCGAATCCTAATATTTTGAGGGCTGTAGGGCAATGGGGCTATACGGTTATAGGACCATAAGGCTAGGGCTATGGGAGGATAGGGCTACAGGGCTACAAGGCAATAGGGCTATAGGGCTATATGCCTACAAGGGCTATAGGGTTAGAGGGCTAGAGGGCGATTGGGCTATAGGGCATAAGGACTACAGGGGTATAGGGCTATAGGGCTATTAGGGCTATAAGGCTATAGGGCTATAGGGCTATAGGGCTATAGGGCTATAGGTCTATAGGGATATAGGGCTATAGAGCTATTGGGCTATATGGCGATAGAGCACTCAGGCACCCCGGGGCGCCCGGGCACCCCGGGGCACCTCCGGGCACCTGTGGGCACCTCCGGGCACCCCCAGGCACCTGGGCACCCAGACACCCCCAGGGACCCGGGCACCCCCATGCACCCGGGCACCCGGGCACCGGGGCACCTGGGCACCCGGGGGCTGCGGCGAAAATCGGCGGCAAACCTAACCTAACCATATGAATCCGCTAGGACCCCAGTCAGAGGCAAGCTCTGACTGGGGAATATCTATCTATCTATCTATCTATCTATCTGTCTATACAATGGCGTAGTTTCCTGGTGCGAGATGGACCTTATTCGTCGAGGTGTGTTGACATGGACAACGTGTCCATGCGCGGCATCAACTCGTGCTTCTCTACGCCCCCAGCAGAGGGGGCTCCTGGCACTTTCTGTTGCGTCCCTGACCATGAGAAGGTGTGCCCCCCATTGGCTGGCCAACAAAGTGCGCTTGGCATTGCCTTGTATTATCCAGACTCGCTTCAGGATTGACAATGTCATTGCAGTCAGGTTGGCAAGGAGCGTTCTCGCCTTGCTGCAGTGACTTGTCACCGCAATGTTGTCCAACCAGGCTTCCGCTTTCACGAGTCAACTAACGCTTGTTTCAACGTGCCGGACAGCGCAAGCGGCAGCCGTGCTCGATTGAAACAGTGCTTGATCTCGTGCAGACCTACGCGCTCCCTTGGCGAGGGCCTCTCGAGATTGCCCGACCTGGCCGACGGCCCTCAAGCGCGAACTTCCATGAGGCGCCTACGGAATCCAAGAGGGGCGCTGGCCAGCTGGCTCTCCCCTTTCGAAGAAGGGGATAGCGAGCAGGAAGAGGGCGCGGTATTGATGCGCGACTAGTACCGATAATGTGTCAGCTCTGTTCATAAGTATATGGGAGCTAATACTTTGACCGAGCAACTCCAGCTTCTATATCTATGTTGCCCGCGCTCCGGCCAATGTCGACCGTATCCTATGAACATGGGGGCTGCATGTTTCAGGCAGAAACTATCAATCTCTGTGAACACATAACGCGATGTGCTGTTCACTCATCACCGATCGGGTGATCGCACTGTGGCCATCGCAGTCTTCGTGGCTGATGCCGCGGACAGCGATGGCGACGTCGATCCCGACAGTCACAATAGGTGCGCCGAGCTGTGTTTCGCCAGTGACATGGCCAAGGTCATCCTGGGCGAACCAAGACTGGCGGCTATGCATGCCGGTGAACTGGCAGCCGTGCGAGTGCACGACTCGGCGGGGACCAAAAGGGCCTTAGTCGTGAGAGAGGATGATCTTAGGCGATGCAAGATATTTTTTGTCATCCCGCGCAAGTGTCAAACGCCTGTTTTGCCGAGCTTAAGATATGGCTAGAGAACGGATGCTTCGCGGAAGAGCTACCACCCAAGGCCCAGAACGGGATGGCGTCGCGTTATGTCTACACATGGAAAATCATTAATAACGTCTACGGCCAGACCGATAATCTCATCCGACTACGACTTGTTTTGATGGGTTCCATGGACCAGGAAGCCCCCTCAGTGGAGGCGTGCCCATGGGCAGCCAAACGTGCCTGACGCGTACTTATAGTCAGTCAGGCTGCTTGTCACGAAGATCTGGATGTTGGCTTTCCTTAGCGGTGAGAAACTTGCCGAAGCCACCGGGGGGCAGGAGCGTAGTGTGTGTTTCGCACTACCTCCCGGGGGCCTCTCGGTTCTACGCGCGCTGCCCGGGCGTGGAGGCTACCTCGAGGGTCGACGCCTCCTCGAGTGTCTGAAGCAAGTTTCTGGAACCACATACGCGCCGCGAGCGTTCTCCATGAAGCGCAGACGAACGACCGAGAGCAACGGTGTCAAGTCGACGTCGTATGACCCAGAATTTGAGGCTGGACCGGACCTGTTTAATGCCAAGCACGTGGACGACGTCAGCATGTGCGGCAAGGAGGCACATCTGGAGTCTTATGTACATGAGGTAGAACAAGTGTTTTTGTAATGTAATCAAAACATGCATGCGTGCAGACATCGCTCAGTCGTGTATACCAAGACGGGTACATGGGGCGTGATTATGGGCCAAGACGATTCTTCCAAATGGATGGCGTCCTATCGCGCGCCCCGACCTCGCCGAAGCATCGCCAGATGCACTGTCGAGCATGACTGTCAGCGACATGGTCGTCAGTTTGCGGATTGGCCTCGCCTTCTCTGCGCAGGCCCGAAGTTGGATCATGGTGTATGTTGAGTCTCTCCAACGCATTCGGCAACGGATCACTTTCCAAGTGATGCGAATTAATTGCCGCACTCGCAAACTATTACAACATCCTCAGAATATTACCTACCGGACTATGGATCTTGACGGCGAGGTCAGTCTACACGGCGATTCGGGCTACAGATAGCTCGCCGGAGGTGAGGGCGATGGGGCAAAATGCCACGGACTTCGAGGGCGCAACCTTCTGCGGCTTGGAATCACGAGCAGGGAAGATGTCACCCATTACATCGAGAGCTTATGCAAGGCCCATCGCCTCCAAGTTTGGTCCTGTTACTCAGCAAAAGCACGTGCTGCAGCTCGCAGCGCGAATGAATGCTATCCTACCTTCGCGACGCTACACGAGCTCCTGAAGGTTGCATTAACCCCTTCTGGGCTAACGTAACTTCGTAAACACCGTGGTCTATGTCTCGACGTATCCTTCGCGATCGACGCCGAATCCGAGTTCGAGTCTCTCGCCAGTAAGGACCCGGAACCACTTGCAGAAAAGACGCTGCTGGGCCATATCGGTTAAGTCGGAGAGTTTCTGGAACTCGGCATCGTAGATAATGCGCAATGGCGTGGCACCCGCGATGCGACAGTTGCTGACCACTCGAAAGGCTTCGTCGATCGGGATCTATTATTACAAGCTATGGGCGGCTATCGGGGTTGCGCGGACGAAGTTCAGTCGCGCGCGCAATCCCGCAGTCCTTCTCCAATTGTCATTTCGTGGAGCCGCTGCTGTCCAGACGCCTTGTTGGGCCCCTTTTGGTCTGAGGGATCGTGTGGCCGCGGCTGCCAGATGCACGAGAGGGGGGCCCTCTTCCTGGCCCCGTGCGGAGCATTCGTGGGATCACGACGGCCCAGAGTGAGCGCGTGCCCGCGCTCCTCCTGCTTGTTTTTTTTGCCGTGGGCAATCTTTATGCCCGATGTGGGGTCAGCCCCGCTGGCATTCTCCAGGGCTCTCTTGGCTGCCACCTGGCTGGCCTAGCATGGGCTGTATTTGTTCAGCCTATATCTGCTCTGTGCCAGTTAGGTGTCAAGTTCGCTGGTTCATGGAGACATGACCCTCGGCCCTCGCCTCGCTGCAGCTGGGGTGGCAGTGGTGGGCGGCTACCTGACGCTCTGCGGCCGCCTTGCGCCTGCGTGGGGGCCGCAGCGGTCGGGCTTCGTCTCCCCCGCTGACTTTGAGGGTATGTCCCACTGGGGCGGACATGAATTTGCCCGGTGCCGCTGCCGTCTTGGCTCAAGGCAGCGCCGCCTTCTCTGCCAGTGTAGGCGTCGCTGCCTGCGCTCTATTTGTAGTGGCGGTCGGAGAAACGTGCGCCCCTTGCTCCTCCATCCCCATCCTGTTCACCCATCGTCTATCCAAAGACGTACCCCATGGCTTGGAACACCTCGTTCGAACTCTCCCCAGTCCATCTTGATGTGATGTTGTGCCATTCTGGCGGCCTTGCTGGCCCCCTGGGCCATTTTGGAAGCCGTCTAGAGCGTTCGAAGGCTTGAGGGAATCGTGAGGCTTGCCCAGAGAGCTTCAGGAACGGGGGGGATGCGCGCAGCAAGGTGTTGGGAAGGGGGGGCTCTATTATATAATTTACAGACGCCCTACCACACAGCATTTGACATTCTACCGCGTGTCCACGCGCCAGGAGACACGGTGACAAATCAATGAGGAGCTGTGGTAAATCTTTCCCCGAACGGGAAGGAAGGGGAATGACAGGTTTGGATACAGCTAATCTTAAACCATCTGCGCCCAAAGGCTGGCGGAATACCACGAGAAACCCAGTGCAACAGGCTCGTCGAGCTTCGCGCCGCTGTAACCCAAAAAGGAACGAAACACACTGTTCATTTACATCGGCTAGAGTCAAATTTGTTTGAAACGACGTGCCCACATATGTAATTCCAGAGGTGTTGACGATGTTTACGCGTGCGTGTGCGTGCATGTGCGCGCGTTCGTGCGTTTCCGCACGCGTTCTTGGCTCAAGCCACTGTAACGCTCGGATTTGCCCGAGCTTGATGGGGCGCGGAGAGCCTCTTGAGAGGCCCAGACCGTCCAGCCGCCATGGGGTGCGGAGCTTCCGCGAAGCCTGCCCCTAAGTATGCTGGCGATGAGGCGCAACACACAAAGGGTGAGGAGGGGCAACAAACGACGGCCACTGTGGTTTCGCAGGACGCCAGTAAGACCCCCATGGCCAAAGGTGCTTCGTCCGCGAGCATGAGCAGCACGGAACCTAAAAAGGCCAGCGCGTCCAAGCAAGGGAGCAAAATCCTGGACAAGGAGGAGGGCTTCGCTATGAAACGGTCGTCTTCTTTCAAGACAAGCCTGGAGCTGTGGCTCATCGACGGCATCCCCGAGCTCTACCGCGTCAGTGACACGGACAAGCTCCGCCCCGAGCTGCGGGAAGAAGGCCAGGAGTTGATGGTGGGTCGGTGCCTGGAGGGGGGCAGGTTGAGGGAGGACGCGGCGCAGCTGCTGACGCAGTGGCTCCACGACGCCCCAGACCCCAAGGCGCTGGAAGCCTTCGTGGCAAAGGCCGTGGAGGCGCTGAGGAAGGTCCACGGCGGGCCAGAGGACGACCCGAAGGAGAAGAAGGTCTGCTTCTCCGAATCGGTCGGCTCCAATGCGGGCGAAGCCCCCAAGATTGACCGGGTGAGCACGGGGGCCGTGAAGGTAAAGTTCAAGCTGCCAGAGGACGACGAGGCCGAGGGCGGCGAGCGGCCAGTGAAGCGTAAAGGCACTGGGTTTGTGACGCCGCAGCAGCTGCGGTCGATGATGATGCAGGACTACGACGAGGACGAGGACGAAGAGTCCGACGAGGAGGATCAGGACGACGAGGCCTTCGAAGAAGAGTCGAAGAGATACGCGGAGAAGCAGACAGGCAGGGGCACTGCGTTCGTCAGGAAGGCCGTGTGCGCCGAGGTGCACGAGGCGGACGAGGACTGGGAACCGCCGAAACACAATAAGACCTCGGAGCAGCAGGCGCGGCTCACCGCGGCCGTCGGCTCGTGCTTCATGTTTGCCGCACTGGGGACCGAGCAGCTCGAGAGGGTGATCGACGCGTTCGAGGAGGTGCGCCTGGAGGAGGGCTCCACGGTGATCCGCGAGGGCGACCAGGTGGGCGACAACGAGAGGGGCCTGTTCGTGCTGGAGGACGGGGAGCTCCACGTGCACAAGGGGGAGCAGGGACACGTCTTCACCTACTGTCAGCAAGGCGACCTGTTCGGAGACCTGGCGCTCCTGTACAACGCCCCGCGGGCGGCCACTGTAATCGCGACGAAGCCCTCTGTGGTGTGGTGCATCGACCGTGCCACCTTCAACAACCTCGTGAAGAACCAGCTGAGGCAGGTCAAGGAGAAGCGGCTCGAGTTTCTGAAGTCTGTCGAGGTCCTGAAAAACCTGGACCCTGACCAGCTAGCAAAGCTCGTGGACGTGATTCGGGAGCGGCGATTCGGCGAAGGCGTGACCGTCATCCAGGAGGGCGAAGATGGTAACGAGTTCTTCATCCTCGAAAAGGGCGCTTGCAGTGCGAGCAAGAGCGGGGACTTCGTCTTCGAGTACTTGCCTGGGACATACTTCGGAGAACTCGCCCTCCTGGAGGACCAGAAGCGGGCCGCTCAGATTTTCACGACGATGCCCAGCGTGTTGCTGAGCCTCGACAGGGCGGCCTTTGACCGCATCCTCGGACCGCTGAAGGCGCTCCTCAAGGAGAAGGCGGACGCCGCCTACGTCCAGCAGCCGCCCGGCCCGCCTTAGGGCGGACGTCCACCGCATCGGAGCCCCTTGTTGTCGATAGCTATCCCCTCTGCAAGTATCCATGGCGGCAGAAAGCTGCAGCCGCCAGCGTGGTGAGCCGTTTGGCTTATGGACGCAGCGGTTGGCCGTTGCCGATCCGCCCCCCGGCCCAGGCCCTGGCCCCGGCCACGGCCCCGACCTCCCCATTGTCCTCCCCATACTCCTCGTCCCCATCGCCGCTTCAAAATCTGCCCTCGGACCTCTTCTGGAGTGCGTTCCCGCCTTACCTCCGAGGCGGATCCAGCCGTGGCGACGAGGAGTCCCTAGGAGGCCAAAGAAGGACGAACAAAGAAGAAAAGCCTGGATCCTCGAGGTTCGAAAGTCAATCCTCCTCTTCCTCCTACTCCTCCTCCTCCTCGTCGTCCTCCTCGAAGCTCGAAGCTCAATCCTCTTCGTCCTCCTCCTCCTCCTCCTCCTGGTCCTCATTTCCTCCCCGGCCGAGCTGTGGCGGGCAGCGGCGGCAGGGGGGAAGGGCGAGGAGGAGGAGGAGGCTCGTGGGCCATACAGGGGAGGGGACGGCGATGGTGATGGTGAGGAGGATGATGAGGAGGATGATGCTGATGATACTGATGATTCTGATGAGGATGATGATTATGCCTGTGATGATGAGGATGATGATGGGGATGATGAGGATGATGATGCTGAGGATGATGTTGAGGATGATGAGGATGATGAGGATGATGATGATGATGATGACGATGCTGATGCTAATGATGATGCTGATGATATTGCTGATGACGATGATGATGGTGATGGTGCTTATGATGAAGACGATGATGATGCAGATGATGATGACGATGATGATGAGGATGATGCTGATGATGATGCTGATGCAGATGCCGATGATGCCGCTGCTTCTGATGATAACGATAAGGATCATGATGCTGCTTCTGATGAATATGAGGATGACGATGATGATGATGAGGATGATGAGGATGAGGTTGATGATGACGAGGATGATCATGATTATGATGATGCTGCTGATGATGCTAGGATGATGATGAGGATGATGATCCTGACGATGATGAGGATGATGATGATAGTGTTGATGAGGATGATGCTGAGGATGATGATGAGGATGATTTTGATGATGACGCTGATGCTGGCGCTGCTGGTGACGATAATGATGAGGATGATGCTGATTATGATGCTGATGCAGATGCTGATGAAGCTGGTGCTGCTGTTGATGATGTTGATGATGATGATGATGTTGATGATGATGATGATGATAATGATGATGATGATGCTGAGGATGCTGCTGATGATGAGGATGGTGATGATGACGACGATGATCATGACGATGATGATGACGATGCTGATGATAATGATGATGCTGATTCTGATGCTGATGATGCTGATGCAGATGCTGATGATGCTGCTGCTTCTGATGATAACGATAATGGTCATGATGCTGCTGCTGATGAATATTAGGATGACGATGATGATGATGAGGATGATGAGGATGAGGATGATGATGACGAGGATGATCATGATTATGATGATGCTGCTGATGATGATAGGATGATGATGAGGATGATGATCCTGACGATGATGAGGATGATGATGATAGTGTTGATGAGGATGATGCTGAGGATGATGATGAGGATGATTTTGATGATGACGCTGATGCTGGCGCTGCTGGTGACGATGATGATGAGGGTGATGATGATTATGATGCTGATACAGATGCTGATGAAGCTGGTGCTGCATATGATGATGATGATGATGATGATGATGATGATGATGATGATGATGACGATGATGAGCATGACAATGATGATGCCGATGCTGATGATAATAATGATGCTGACTCTGATGCTGATGATGCTGCTGCTGATGATGAGGATGATGAGGATGGTGAAGATGATGATGAGGATGATGATCATGGGGATGATGAGGACGATGCTGATGATAATGATGATGCTGATGATGATGATGATTCTGATGATGATGACGATGATGATGATAAGGATGGTGCTGATGATGATGAGAATGATGAGGATGATGATGAAGAAGATGATGGGGATGATAACTATGGTGATGCTGATGCAGATGCTGATGATGATGCAGATGACGATGATGATGGCGATGATGCTGATGACGATCATGATTATGATGATGCAGATGATGATGCCGATGATGATGACGACGATGGTGATGATGATAGTGACGATGATGACGATTGTAACGAGGATGATGTTGGTGATGCAGATGCAGATGCTGTTGATCCTGCTGCTGCTGATGATGATAATGATGATGGTGACGCTGATGCTGATAATTATGATGATGATGATGATCGGGATGCTGGCGATAATGATCATGGTGGTGGTGATGATGCTGATGAGGATTATGAGGATGATGATGCTGATGGTGATGCTGATGATCATGCTTATGGCGATGATGATGACGATAATGATGATGAGGATGATGCTGATGATGATTGTGATGATGATTGTGATGATGACGATGATCATGACGACGATGATAATGTTGATGATGATACTGATGCTGTTGCTGATGATTATGCTACTGCTGATGATGCTGCTGCGGATGATGATTCTGATGATGTTGATGATGATGATCAGGATGCTGATGCTGATGATGCGGATGATGATGATGCGGATCAGGATGATGAGGGTGATGATGAATGTGATGATAAGGATGATGAGGATGATGATGATAATGCTGATGATGTTGCTGATGACGATGATGATGGTGATCATGCTGATGATGGCTATGATGATGCAGGTGCTGCTGATGATGATGATGATGATGATGATAGTGATGCTGCTGATGATGATGAGGATGACAATTGTGATGGTGATGTTGCTGATGCTGATGATGTTGATTTTGCAGGTGATGCTGCTGATGATGATGACGATGATGAGGATGCTGAGGACGATGCTGAGGACGATGCTGATGATGCTGATGCTGATGCTAATGATGATGATGACGACGGTGCTGATGATGCTGTTGATGAGGGTACTGATGATGATGATGAGGATGATGAGGATGATGATGATGATGACGGTGATGACCATGATGGTCATACGGATGATGACCTTTCTGATGATGATGGTGAGCATGATGATGATGTTGATGATGATGATGAAGATGACCATGATGATGCTGACGATGATGCTGATGGTGTTGCTGATGACGATGATGCTGATGATGATGATTATGATGATGCAGATGGTGACGATGACGATGATGTTGACGATGATGGTGAGGATGATGCTGATGATGATGCTGATGCTAATGTTGCTGATGCTGCTGCTGATGAGGATGATGCTGATGATGACGAGGATGATGATGAGGGTGATGATGATGATGACGATGATGATGCTGATGGTCATACGGATGATGGTTTTGCTGATGGTGATGATAATGAAGATAATGATGATGATGATGAGCATGATGATGAGGATGATGATAATGATGTTGCGATGAGGGTGATGATGATGACGATGATGATTCTGATGATGATGCAAATGGTGCTGCTGATGACGATGATGATGCTGATGATGCTGATGATGATGATTATGATGATGCGCATTGTGATGATGACGATGATGCTGCCGGTGATGATGAGGACGATGCTGATGGTGATGCTGATGCTATTGCTGATGATGCCGCTGCTGGTGTTGATGATGATGATGTTGCTGATGGCGATGATGAGGATGATGATGATTATGATGAGGTTGATGATGATGATCATGATGATGGTATGATAATGACGATGATGATGAGGATGTTGATAATGTTTTTGATGATGATGCTGATGCTGGTGCTGATGGTGACGATGATGATGAGGATGATGCTGATGATGATGCTGATGCTGATGCTGATGATGCCTGTGCTGCTGATGATGATGATGATGCAGATGATGATGATGATGATGATGATGATGATGAGGATGATGCTGCAGATGATAATGAGGATCATGAGGATGCTGCTGATGATGAGGAGGATGCTGAGGATGCTGATGATGCTGATCATGCTGCTGATGACCATGATAATGGTGATGATGCTGATTCTGATGATGATTATGATGATGACGATGTAGATGACGATGGTGAGGGTGATGCTGATGATGATGCGGATGCTGATGCTGGTGATGCTGCTGCTGATGATGATGCTGATGATGATGGTGACGATGCTGATGATGATACTGATGCTGATGATAATATCATGATGGCACTGATTAGGATGATGCAGATGCTGATGGTGATGCTGATAGTGATGCTGAGGATTCTGCTGATGACGATGATCATGGTGATCATGCTGATGATGATAATGATGATGCAGATGCTGATGATGCTGATTATGATGCTGATGCAGATGACGATGATGATGCTGATGATGATGCTGATGCTGATGCCGATAATGCTGCTGCTGATGATTCTTCTGAATCTCATGATGATGAGAATGATGACGATGCTGACGATGATTCTGATGACCATGATGCTGATAATGTTGCTGGTGACGATGATGATGATGACGACTATGGTGATGCAGATGATGATGATGATGATGATGATGATGATGATGATGATCATGATGATGATGATGATGATGATGATGATGATGACGACGATGATGATGATGACGACGATGATGAGGATGATGATGCTGTTGATGATGATGATGCTGCTGATGCTGCTGCAGCTGATTGTAATAATGATGATGATGATGAGGATGATGATGTCAATGATGATGATGATGACGATGCTGATGCTGATTATGCTGCTGATGCTGATGCTGGGGATGATGATGATGATGTCGATGATGATGATTATGATGATGATTATGATGATTATGATTATGTAGGTTATGATGACGATGACGATGACGATGAGGATGCTGCTGCTGATTCTGATACTGACGATGATGGTGGTGACGATGATGACGATGCTGATGATGCTGCTGCTGCTGATGAGGATGCTGATGAGGAGGATGATGATGAGGAGGATGATGAGGAGGATGACGACGACGATGATGATGATGATGATGATGCTGCTGATGCATATGATGATTCTGCTGACGATGATGCTGATGGTGATGACGATGAT